CACCCTCCATGCTCTCTCACTCCCTCCATGCTCTCTCACCCTCTCAATGCTCTCTCACTCCCTCCATGCTCTCTTACCCTCCATGCTCTCTCACTCCCTCCATGCTCTCTCACCCTCTCAATGCTCTCTCACACCCTCCATGCTCTCTCACCCTCTCAATGCTCTCTCACACTCTCAATGCTCTCTCACATCCTCCATGCTCTCTCACCCTCTCAATGCTCTCATACCCTCTCAATGCTCTCTCACTCCCTCCATGCTCTCTCACCCTCTCAATGCTCTCTCACATTCCCAGTGTTCTCTTACACTGTCAATGCTCTCTCACACCCTCCATGATCTCTCACACTCTCAATGCCCTCTCATACCCTCCATGCCCTCTCACACTATCAATGCTCTCTCACATTCTCAATGCTCTCTCACACCCTCAATACTCTCTCACATTCCCAATGCTCTCTTACACTGTCCATGCTCTCTCACACTCTCAATGCTCTCTCACACTCATCATGCTCGCTCACACCCTCAATGCTCTCTCAAACTCTCAATGCTCTCTCACACAATCTATGCTCTTTCACACCCTCAATGCTCTCTAACACTCTCAATGCTCTCTCACACTCTTAATGTTCTCTTACACTCTCAATGCTCTCTTACGCTCTCAATGCTCTCTCACACAATCTATGCTCTTTCACACCCTCAATGCTCTCTCATATTCTCTGCTCTTTCATACACTCAGTGTAACAAAACAATTGACATTTAGAATCAAGCAAATACAATAATGCACATTTCCAAAGAATTTGCGTTTCGTACAAAAGCTATCTGGAATCAATGGTTATGTTCATTCCCCTTTGGTGCCTACGTACCATTTTGAATGTGACAGAACATTTGAAGTATGACTTTATTTTTTTACCTCATTCATCTTACAATTGGTTTGTCATGTCCACAAAAGACTGATCATTTTGTAAATTATGATTAATTGTGAGTCATCAATACATTTATATAATCACAGCTACTTTGCCTCTGGGTATTGATAAACTGACAGACAGTGACATCAGACCAAGGTCATGTCAGGACATCCTGCAGAGGGCTGTCAGAACACGACTAACAGAAGTATCAAATCGTTAGTCAGATCTCCTTCTAACGAGACTGATCGCACGAGGGACAGAAAGTGAAAGCCCCTCTGAACTACACTTCCCCTTCCATGATATGTTCACGTTCCCCACATCTTCACAATCTGATTTTACATCAAGTCACAGCAGCTCTGAACATATCCAGTATCACGGAGACAAATGTTGAACAAATGACATGAAGGAACGTGAAAGTCATGGTAATACAACTGACTGACAGACTAAGAATACAATCACAGGCCATTTTATCTTGTCAGTCACTCTTAACACAATTTCCATCCTAAAAATAAAATTTCAGGTTCCTATTGAATATTTGATTTCATTATTCAATATCAAAGAAGACTCTCCTGCGTCAAAGAATCTCTGCAGAATCTCAAAGAACCTGTATGATGCACAAAATGCTTTACTTTATTTTCTAACTGCACATGCATGACCTGCACAATCACATGCAATTATTCTGGAAGGCAAATTGTCTAGTGAGCTATTAACCATGCAGTGACTACAGCACATGTTTGATCCGTCCCAGGGTTGGGAAGATGTGTGACAGGGGAGGGCTATTTCTGAATATAGTTCGTTCGTTTGTTGTTTAATGCCGCACTCAGCAGCATTCCAGCTATATGACGGCAGTCTGTTAATAATCGAGTCTGGACCAGATAATCCAGTGATTGACATTATTGATCCGTGCAATTGGGATACGTATGTGAAGAATCGAGTACAGATAGTTGGGACTTGCATCAGCCAAGTGCAACCAAGCCTGACCACCTGATCCTGTTTGTCGTCTGTTTCGATGTTGAATAGGTCTTCATCAACCCATGCTTGCCGTAAAAAGCCACTATGCTTGTCATTAGAGGGGACTAATGGGATCAGGTGGTCAGGCTCGTTGACTCGGTTGATGCATGGATCGATGCTCATGATATCAGTCACTGGATTGTCTGGTCCAGACTCGATTATTTACAGACTGCCGTCATATAGATGGAATATTGCGGAGTGTGGCCCTAAGCAACAAACAAACAAACCAAAAAACAATTCTTATTTGTTTCACTCCTAGCCACCATCAAACACAGGTGTATACTTTCTTTTGCCGAAAGTTTATCCTCATGCACATAAAATCATACCAAGAAAGGTTAAGTGTGACCTCTGGGAGAGAACCTTCTACATGTCAATGTTGTTAAATGCTGAATTCTGCAATATTCCAGCTCTGTCATTGCAGTCTGTGAACCAAGTAGACTGACGGGAAGCATGGGCTAACTGCTATGATTCACCATCAGGACACAATGACTTGACTCCTAGCCGACCAGGCCTTGTTTTATTCCTTTAACGCCATACACCAGGCAGGGTGACAACCAGTACCATCTTTAAACAGCTTGATTAGGGAGGACTGAGTGAGTGAGTTGGGTTTAACGCTGCTTTGAACAGTATTCCAGTTATATCACAGCATGTCAGCTTCATGTGGGAGGAAAACCAGAAGTGATGTCGGTCTCAGACGTTTACCACTTTGGTGAAACCCGCGAGAACAGGAAGGGGGCTGACAAACCAGTCTTATCATCCAACACCGGCTCACACAGGAGACATGCTTGGGTGAGATCAAGGGATATCTACACTGTAGATATCGCTGCAATGAAATTACATCACAATGCTTTGCAGACCATTGTGACGCCACTGGTTACCATGACGTCACAATCAAATGACATCACTAATGGCTCTGCTACTGAAGCTGATAGCAGTACTTCTTTACACTGAAGTCACTGCTAATTACTGTCAACAAATTGAAAGGGCTGGAAGAATGATGTTGGATGATAAATAAAATCTCACCCTTGTGTCTTTTGATATCAAATATATCAACACTCGTTGATAAAAGTGGCAAAAATCCTCGGCAAGCCTCGGAATGTTTCCACTTTTATCAACTCGTGTTGATATATTTGATATCAAAAGACACTCGCGTGAGATTCTCTATATATCAGAGTCATGTCTCACTGAATATGGCTGACCTTGTCATGGGCGCCTTTGCCTGACAACTGGTTTTGTGTCTGTGTTTCATGTACCTGCATGTACTTCTGTACATCTGCATATCTCTACATATCAGGGCTGTATAGAGTATATTTATTCAAGTCACGAGGGGAAACACTCATGAAGCAATATTTCAGGAAAACTGCAAAGTTGTGATGTAAAAAAATATCTATTTCCAAAATGTTAAATTTGATGTTATTTTTCAGATAATAAGAAAAGTGACATCAAATTCAGTCACAATTTTGATTGGTATCAGTTTCAGATCATCTGATGGGAAGATGATCCAGTTATTTGAAATATTATATCTCCAAATACAAATGAAATGTATCATGTATCATATTGTTGAGCTATTATCATAATTCCTTGGTAAAATATTTCAGCCCCCCGAAAACAGGGCCGAAACTACCATTGTAGCAGCATAATTTGTTTTAAACCTAAATAAGCTAAATTTTTGCATAGATGGTAAATTATTAATTTGAACTCTACTGTTCAAACATGATATTCATTGTCTAACTTGAAAATCGGAATCTTTACGTACTTTAGGATATTAGGGTCAGATGGTTTGTGATGTAAGCAAATAATGCACAATTAGGCATGCCCCAAAATCTGACCCTTTCGCACCCTCATAACATTGGCTTGGTTATACACTTACAATTAGCCTAGTTATGCTACTGCAAAATAAATACCCAATGGTTCGGTGCAGGACTCCACTCCACTCAACAGTATACACACTGGACTGTCCAGTAGTGACTTTCCAATTCTCAACAAGCAACCTGTGTTCATTTTCTATATGAAGCCACACAAAAAACAACTGATTTCTCATCACTGATTGGTCCAAATATTGCCTCAATCCTAAAATTGTATAAAAAACTGCATGCTAACCTCGGATCAGCTGATTCCTCCATGTTTATGTAACCTGCTCTGACAATATGTACATGTACTACAGATTGTGATTGTGGAAACCAAGAAATTTTTAATATCATTGTTTCATTTAGCACAATTGTGAATTTAGGTTAGAGCGGCTGGTAAATCGGAATAAATAATACAATTAAAATGGACCCAGCTCCTCATTTGTTTTAAACACTTCATGAGAAACAAGACACGTATGCTTATGAAGTCTGATATGAAAGGTTTCTGTAAATTCTTATGCCATAAATGAATGACAGGAATACAATTTTCAAAATGAACCTTTCGATCTGTGTTCAATCAAAAAAATACATTTTTACGGCACTGTAGCTCACCTGGATATGTAATTAGTGACCAGAGTAAAATGTCAACAAAACCAAAAGTTGCTATCAGCATTGATATTTCAATATTTTCTGCCTAAATACTGAGGACATAACACTTTAACTAAATCCTCATGATTTGCACAAGATACATATTATTGCAAGATGCCAAAGTTCAAGTTCTTGTCTGGGAATTTAAATGAGAAGCCAATTATGCAGTCTGAATGGTCAAGCAGAACACCTAAATTTAATATATTACAAAAAAATTAAAACTAGGTATTGAGTTATAATTCACCGACATCTAAAAAAACAAGATATGTTTGTCATATAATGTTTCATCTATCAATGTCTCACAAAGTGTTATTGTCACTCTACATAAAGTTGATACATAAACTACCTACTCCAAATCAAACCATGCAATGTTTGCCTGCCATCATATAGTTATCAAAATGATACTTAAATCAATAATGTACAACACTATTCTACATGCTTTGAATGGGCCTGGTCAATAAAATGCTATATCAGACACAATGTACAGCTTGTCACAATGTTAGTACTGCAACAGCATGTTGGCTAGTAGAACACCATGCAATGGATAAGTGTGTGAGGTAGTCATAGCCGGCACATTGTTAGCAGACAACAACTTTACCTGTCGTGTTCTCGGTGAACTTTACTGATTGGATGACTACTGAAAGGCAGAAACAGGACGTGGATGATAAGTCTACGTAGGTTTGTATGTCACCTCTCCTACTTAAACAATGATGATAAGTCACACTGTCAAAGATGGGGGTGGTGATGATGATGATGATGCAGAGCTCCAGATAACTTTTTTTGAGATTTTACTCCTGGGTTTCTATTTTAATTGGGTTATTACGTTTTTCATTGGGTAACCAATATTTTGTCACTCATCTATTCATCACTCTATTGGGCTTTTCCCAAAATTAGTGATCATTTTAAGATATTAAAAATAAATATTAAAGAATGTTTTAGATGTATATAACTGTTCTAAATATATAGGCTTGACTCGGAAAGTACATTAGCTTGTAATTGTGTTTCGGAAATCAGCTCCTTTGTACGCATGCAGAAAAAGCTTCATTGGGTATTTACCTGTGCTGTTGTTATAGATTTGAGGTGTTCAATTAATGCATGCGTTCTGTACGCAAGTTAATTGAAAGTAATTGTGTTTTGAATATTTTGGGGGGTATTTTACGCAAATACGCTGCTTATCTGTAGCTCTGTTATGGTGATGATTATGACATCATGGTGATGGTGAGATGATAATGATGATGGTGATGATGATTGTGGTAATGTGACAATGACAATTTTATAAGTATTTCTAAAAGCACTACAAAATATTTTAAAGCTTGATTATTATAAACCTGATCTGAAATTAACATACAACATCTGTACATAATCTGTCAGATTCATCTTTCATTACACGTCATAACACATAGTACAAGAAAAGTACTTGTAACAAGTAAATGGATTCTTTGTTGTTATGAGTAGGCCTCTTGCCAGGCCAATATTGTCTTGGTCACTAAGCCAAGATGAAGAAAGTAAACAATGATAAAAAATGTTCTCAAGGTTGATTAGGTCAAATAGCTCACCTGGATATGTAGCCAACAAATTAAAATGTCATCAAAGACATCTGTTTAACAAAAGTTGATGTCAGTGTTGATATTCAAATATTTAATAATCTATTTATTTGAACAAAATATTTCCTCATATGGAGAAAAATACATGCAAAGTTCACCTGACTCAGTCTGGCATTTTCAGAGAAGTTTGTTTAAAATACCTTTTGAGAGAATATACGAATATGGTCAAAACTAGGGTCTGCACAGCCAGTTGGTCAGTAGGTCAGTGGACCCTGCACAGCCAGTTGGTCAGTAGGCCAGTGGACCCTGCACAGCCAGTTGGTCAGTAGGCCAGTGGACCCTGCACAGCCAGTCGGTCAGTAGGCCAGTGGACCCTGCACAGCCAGTTGGTCAGTAGGCCAGTGGACCCTGCACAGCCAGTGGACCCTGCACAGCCAGTTGGTCAGTAGGCCAGTGGACCCTGCACAGCCAGTCGGTCGGTAGGTCAGTGGACCCTGCACAGCCAGTCGGTCGGTAGGCCAGTGGACCCTGCACAGCCAGTTGGTCAGTAGGTCAGTGGACCCTGCACAGCCAGTTGGTCGGTAGGCCAGTGGACCCTGCAAAGCCAGTTAGTCAGTAGGTCAGTGGACCCTGCACAGCCAGTTGGTCAATAGGCCAGTGGACCCTGCACAGCCAGTTGGTCGGTAGGCCAGTGGACCCTGCACAGCCAGTTGGTCAGTAGGTCAGTGGACCCTGCACAGCCAGTGGACCCTGCACAGCCAGTGGACCCTGCACAGCCAGTTGGTCAGTAAGTCAGTGGACCCTGCACAGCCAATTGGTCAGTAGGCCAGTGGACCCTGCACAGCCAGTGGACCCTGCACAGCCAGTTGGTCAGTAGGCCAGTGGACCCTGCACAGCCAGTTGGTCAGTAGGCCAGTGGACCCTGCACAGCCAGTTGGTCAGTAGGCCAGTGGACCCTGCACAGCCAGTTGGTCGGTAGGCCAGTGGACCCTGCACAGCCAGTTGGTCAGTAGGCCAGTGGACCCTGCACAGCCAGTGGACCCTGCAAAGCCAGTTGGTCAGTAGGTCAGTGGACCCTGCACAGCCAATTGGTCAGTAGGCCAGTGGACCCTGCACAGCCAGTGGACCCTGCACAGCCAGTTGGTCAGTAGGCCAGTGGACCCTGCACAGCCAGTTGGTCAGTAGGCCAGTGGACCCTGCACAGCCAGTTGGTCAGTAGGCCAGTGGACCCTGCACAGCCAGTTGGTCGGTAGGCCAGTGGACCCTGCACAGCCAGTTGGTCAGTAGGCCAGTGGACCCTGCACAGCCAGTGGACCCTGCACAGCCAGTTGGTCAGTAGGCCAGTGGACCCTGCACAGCCAGTTGGTCAGTAGGCCAGTGGACCCTGCACAGCCAGTTGGTCGGTAGGCCAGTGGACCCTGCACAGCCAGTTGGTCAGTAGGCCAGTGGACCCTGCACAGCCAGTGGACCCTGCACAGCCAGTTGGTCAGTAGGCCAGTGGACCCTGCACAGCCAGTTGGTCGGTAGGCCAGTGGACCCTGCACAGCCAGTTGGTCAGTAGGTCAGTGGACAACTGCACCAAAGTCAGTCAGCCCATCCAAAATTAAGAATGGAAGGCATTGGTCTCCTTTTGTAATTTCTTTAGAATGTTCAAGGCTACTGGGGGATAAGGCGTGACACCAAATCAGCCAGGTCATAGCTTAGAAAAAATGTTTAATTTTATCATGTAGGATATTTAACAAGAACAAACTTCAAACAATCATTGTTTATCTAGCCTGCGAAAAGAACCTTGACCTCAGCCACTTCATTACCCTGCCGAAACACAAGGGAAGCAACATGTCTGATCGTTACTCCAAGACTATCTTGCTTTGCTCCACTTAATGTATCATCAACTGACAGTTTCATTCTTCTTGAAATGGCTTCCACTGATTTCTCAGATCAGTGTCAGTCATGACAGTTGTGCCAAATCCTTAGAGAATACTAATACTTTCAACAGTATAGAAAACAACTCTGGCGCTATCCTCAACAATACCATGTGGTTCCATCATAATAATATCTATCTACGTACACCAGCTTACAGAGTGATGGCTCCAGCTGACAGCGGTGTACAACAGTGTATGGAGGTATGTTTGCATGTCTGGTGGATGTTTAACGCGGCACTGAACAACATTCCAGCTGACAGCGGTGTACAACAGTGTATGGAGGTATGTTTGCATGTCTGGTGGTTGTTTAACGCGGCACTGAGCAACATTCCAGCAGACAGCGGTGTACAACAGTGTGTGGAGGTATGTTTGGATGTCTGGTGGTTGTTTAACGCGGCACTGAGCAACATTCCAGCTGACAGCGGTGTACAACAGTGTATGGAGGTATGTGTGCATGTCTGGTGGTTGTTTAACGCGGCACTGAGCAACATTCCAGCAGACAGCGGTGTACAACAGTGTATCGAGGTATGTGTGCATGTCTGGTGGTTGTTTAACGCGGCACTGAGCAACATTCCAGCAGACAGCGGTGTACAACAGTGTATCGAGGTATGTGTGCATGTCTGATGGTTGTTTAACGCGGCACTGAGCAACATTCCAGCTGACAGCGGTGTACAACAGTGTCTGGAGGTATGTTTGCATGTCTGGTGGTTGTTTAACGCGGCACTGAGCAACATTCCAGCTGACAGCGGTGTACAACAGTGTATGGAGGTATGTGTGCATGTCTGGTGGTTGTTTAACGCGGCACTGAGCAACATTCCAGCAGACAGTGGTGTACAACAGTGTATGGAGGTATGTGTGCATGTCTGATGGTTGTTTAACGCGGCACTGAGCAACATTCCAGCTGACAGTGGTGTACAACAGTGTATGGAGGTATGTGTGCATGTCTGGTGGTTGTTTAACGCGGCACTGAGCAACATTCCATCAGACAGTGGTGTACAACAGTGTATGGAGGTATGTTTGGATGTCTGGTGGTTGTTTAATGCGGCACTGAGCAACATTCCAGCGGACAGCGGTGTACAACAGTGTGTGGAGGTATGTTTGCATGTCTGGTGGTTGTTTAACGCGGCACTGAGCAACATTCCAGCAGACAGCGGTGTACAACAGTGTGTGGAGGTATGTTTGCATGTCTGATGGTTGTTTAACGCGGCACTGAGCAACATTCCAGCAGACAGCGGTGTACAACAGTGTGTGGAGGTATGTGTGCATGTCTGATGGTTGTTTAACGCGGCACTGAGCAACATTCCAGCAGACAGCGGTGTACAACAGTGTCTGGAGGTATGTGTGCATGTCTGGTGGTTGTTTAACGCGGCACTGAGCAACATTCCAGCAGACAGCGGTGTACAACAGTGTATCGAGGTATGTGTGCATGTCTGATGGTTGTTTAACGCGGCACTGAGCAACATTCCAGCTGACAGCGGTGTACAACAGTGTCTGGAGGTATGTGTGCATGTCTGGTGGTTGTTTAACGCGGCACTGAGCAACATTCCAGCTGACAGCGGTGTACAACAGTGTATGGAGGTATGTGTGCATGTCTGGTGGTTGTTTAACGCGGCACTGAGCAACATTCCAGCAGACAGTGGTGTACAACAGTGTATGGAGGTATGTTTGTATGTCTGATGGTTGTTTAACGCGGCACTGAGCAACATTCCAGCTGACAGCGGTGTACAACAGTGTATGGAGGTATGTGTGCATGTCTGGTGGTTGTTTAACGCGGCACTGAGCAACATTCCAGCAGACAGCGGTGTACAACAGTGTATGGAGGTATGTTTGCATGTCTGATGGTTGTTTAACGCGGCACTGAGCAACATTCCAGCAGACAGCGGTGTACAACAGTGTCTGGAGGTATGTTTGCATGTCTGATGGTTGTTTAACGCGGCACTGAGCAACATTCCAGCAGACAGCGGTGTACAACAGTGTATGGAGGTATGTGTGCATGTCTGGTGGTTGTTTAACGCGGCACTGAGCAACATTCCAGTAGACAGCGGTGTACAACAGTGTATGGAGGTATGTTTGCATGTCTGATGGTTGTTTAACGCGGCACTGAGCAACATTCCAGCAGACAGTGGTGTACAACAGTGTGTGGAGGTATGTGTGCATGTCTGGTGGTTGTT